ACAAAACTAAAAGAAGAAGCAGGTGTTGGAGAAGACAAAGACAATAAAGAAGTAGAAGTCAAAGTTGTAGAGGATGAAGATGAAGAAGGAAACGAGGAAGATGAGAGCAAAAAAGAGGAGGAGAAGAAGAGAGAGCTGATTAAAAAAAACTTGAAAAATACGAGGACATATATGTTCAAGATAAGGAAGGAAAACCGAAGTTGAAGATGACAAAGTATGAGAAGGTGAAGATGGTAAAGGAAGCTAAGAGAAACTTAGAACAAAAAATTAAAGAAAACAAAGAAGAAAAATGTGATGAATTATAAGAAGGAAGAAGAACAAAAACAAGACGGATAAAAAACAAAAGAAAAGAAGAAGAAGAAATCGAAGAAGACAAAGATTATAAAAAACAAGAAGCCCAAGATGATTAAGAAATTAAGAAAAATAACATGAAAAATAAAAATAAGAATATAAAGAAGAGGAAGAAAAAGAAGAAGATAGAGATGAAAATGTAGAAGATGAAGAAAACCGCAAAAATATTAAGTCAGAGAAGACGAAAACGATGAAAAAGAATAATCGGAAGAGAAAGACAATGACAAACCAAAAGAAAATGGAGAATAACAATTGTTCAAAAAGAAAAAGATGATAAAGAATAAGTCAAAGTCAAAGACAATTAAGTAGACGAAGAAACATAAATCAAATACGTTAAAGAAGAAGAAGGAAAACATGTGGAATAATCGATTAGAATGACAAACACTTACGAGAAAATGAAGAGAGAACTCTGGCGAGGGAGAGGTAAAAAGAATTACAGAAAAAGAAACTTCTGTAATTACAATATTTTAGTAAATAGAACAATATATTTATTATGGTTGTTAGATATTTTTTTATTGGTTGAATATCTAACATTGTTGTTATATTTATGTTTGGTTTTTTATTTGTAACAAAGTTAATAATTTAATGATGTAATCACCCAATTATATTTTGTGTTAAATCTTCTGACATTATATCTTTTAGCAAATTTAAAACACGTCAACTATTCTATCTTGGGGTCTTGGGATATTGGATTGGTACTCTCTTTGCCTTTGTTGTTGTTTTTTTTAGTTTGATTAGTTACAAGTTTTCTTATTTTCATGTTCAATAGTATTATGTAAATTACTCACAGTATTAATTTTTTCGTCTGTTTAAGTTAAACAGCTAAATACGATCTCTTTATACATCAAAATTAACTGTTCAAATTTATAAAAAATTAGAGTAAGTGATCAACACTTTCAAAACAAGTAAAAAGACTCATTTTTAACACATTTTCGCCCGCACATGGTGCGGGCTACCACCTAGTGTTTTATTATAAAGGAAGGTAATTATATGATTTAAACATAGTTAAAGCATAACATAAAAATCAAAAACATAATTTTTAAAATAAATCCTCAGATGTGAACTTCTTGACGTCCAAATTTGTGCCATATATGCTCAACCAAATCAGCTTTTAATTGTTGATGTGTCTGTCTATCACGGATTTTTGTTCGAACACTCAACAAATCGGGAATATTTGTACTGATATCTGTAGAATACGTGGAGATCGACTTGTGAACTTCCGTTTCCTTCTCCTTATTAGAAATCTGAAATATCAAAGTGAGTGTATCCATCTCGTTCGTTGTCAACTATCATATTGTGGAGTATGACACAAGCTCTCATAATTTTTTTCTACTTTTGCCTTATCCCAAAAAAATACCGGATTTTTAACAATATCAAACTGAGCTTGCAAGACTCCAAAAGCACGTTCGACGTCTTTACGGACAGCTTCTTGATCTTCAGCAAATAAAAATGCTTTTGGGCCATGTGGAAGTGGAATGGATTGAATAAAAGTTGCCCATTTTGGATATATATCATCCGTTAGATAGTATGCCAATTTATAATCCCTTCCATTGACTGAAAATTTTACTTGGGGAGCTTTGCCTTGAATTATGTCATCAAAAACTAGGAATGATCAAGCACATTTATATCGTTTAAGGTACCTGAAGGTCCAAAAAATGCGTGCTATATCCAGAGATCTTACGAAGCTACCGCCTCTAAAACGATTGTCGGTTTTCCTGAACCACGTGAAAATTGCCCTTTCCAACCTGTTGGGCAATTCTTCCACTCCCAATGCATACAGTCAATGCTGCCTATCATTCCGGGAAATCCACGTTGCTCTCCAACATAAAGCAAGCGTTCCAGATCCTCTGGTGTTGATCTTCTTAAGTACTCCTCACCAAACAAGTTAATAATCGCGTCAACAAAATGCTCCAAACATTTACGAGATGTGGTTTCACCAAGCCGGAGGTATTCGTCAACTGTATCCGCTGCAGTGCTATAAGCCAAGAGACGAATGGCTGTTGTACACTTTTGAAGTGCAGAGAGACCAGGCCTTCCGAGAACATCTTTTCTGTCTAAAGTATGGAGCTTCATTGGAAAGTTTTCCCACAATATGCAAGAACAAAAACTCGTTCATCCTAAAACGTCGGCAGAATAAATTAGCAGGATATGTGGGCGCTTCACTGAAATAATCGTTCCATAAACGATTGTGGCCATCTTTACGATCTCTTTCGATGTAAGCTCGTTTCTTTCTTGATTTTGTGGCCTCTTGCTGATCTCCATAATCATTGAAAACATTTTGAAATGTTTGATTGAAAACATTCTGAAAATGCTGATGAAAAGAATCATCACTTGATCCATCCAAATGATTGTTAGATGAAGAAGCCATGATAAATGTTTTGTTTTTGAGGAAATCGTGACTTAGATGATAAGGAGAAAGAGAGATTATGATGATGGTCTTTGTGAGGAGAAATAAACGGTAAGGAGATGGTGATCGATCAAGTTCATTATATAGAAGAACATGCAATACCCGTGACATGTACAATTGAAAACAGAAAAATACAAGAGCAGTCCATACCCGTGACATGTAAAAATGAAAACAGAAACATACAAGACAGTCTATTCCCGTGACATGTGAAAATGAAAACAGAAACATACAAGACCAATACACGTGACAATAAGCAAGTTGTGTACTCTACAAGACCAGTCTATCGTCTTCTTGTGCCGACGTGAATGAACTTCAAATCCTGAAACAGAAAGACGCACAAAAAAGCCACACATAAACATTTCAAAATGAATCAATCTCCGAAACACCAATAACACAAACAATTGAAAACACAAACAATGTTCATGCGTACCTTATCAGGTGAAACTGCAGAGTCTGAATTTTCCAAGATGTAAACCTTCAAACTGTAGCTCTAAAAAACTTTTATAGTAGATTCAAGGCAAGGTTTCCTTGTACTGTAATGTACTATAAAAGCTTTAAGAGCTACAATGGAAGTGTTGTCACTTGCAAATGACAAAGTACCACGTCTGATAATCATTACAAAAAGAAAAGACTTTAGAACACTAAGGAAGACTTTATACACGCCATTAAAGAGTGCTAAAGTAGTTAGACAAATACACTTACAAAGATAACAAAAACCCATAAAACCTACCACTAGTTATAAAACAAAAGAGTGGTAAAGTAGTTTTAGCCGAAACTAACAGATAACAGAAAACACTAGTTATGACAATACAACACTGACTCCACAACTGAGTAGACAACATGTCTGTTATCAGCTGCTGCTTCAGAGCTTCTTCAACCTCAGTCAACAGTTCCTTTTTGCCAATGCGACTCGCTAGAAGACCCATCTTTGACACTCGCTCTTGAGTTGCGTTGTCCTCTTTCGTTATTGTCCACATGCTTTAAAACTCAGACAGAGCGATCACCTTATCCTTATTCTTTTTGCCGTTAGCTTTTGCAGCCTTCACACCAACTGGGCTACTGCTTGACTGACCATCCTCGCCACTCTTGAGCTCATCTGTTATCACACTTGGGGAATGTGATCCCTCCTCAGCCCTTCTCTTTTTCGTGGTTGCATCAGCTTTTGTTGAAGAAAGCTCTGACCATTTCTGGTCATTATGCAACTCCTTCCAGGCGTGTTCTAGGTTGAACTTCTTCTTCTGATCACTGAAGAATATTTGGTGAGCCATCTTTATGACGCTGTTCTCATTCATCCCACTCGCCTTATCACTTGATGCTGACTCATAAGCTCCGCAGAATTTGCAGACGAGGTCATTTATCTTATGCCACCGCTGCTTACACTTCCCTGCCTCACGTGGTTCACTTCCTGCGGGCTTTGGAGTGTCTGCATAGTACTTGGCAATCTTCTTCCAGAAAGCTCCTGACCTTTGCTCGTTGCCAACCAGAGGATCCTTGCTTGTGTTCAGCCAAGAGCTTATGAGTAAGACGTCCTCTGCTGGGCTCCATGTCTTTCTTTCTCGACGCTCTGCAGGCGTTTCCTTGTTGTTAGAAGGTTGCGTGTCCTGAGTACTGAAAATAGGGACTTGATCGAGATAGGGAAAGGATTCAGAGAGGGATGTATCTTGTTAACTGTTTAATAAGTCAATAAAATTTGAGGGCTGAGGGCTGAGAGGACGCATAAGGAGAAGACATATCCATGTCAAAGAAAACACTAGGAGAGGGCTGAAAAAAAGGAGTAGAAGACTGAAACAGAGGAAGACTGAAAGAAAGGAGTAGAAGACACAAGGAGAGGAAAGAGAGGAATGGAAGAAAGGACTGAAATGGCTGAATGGATGTGATTCAAAAGATGAAGCTACCATCAGCTTTTATTACTTCATCAAAGAAAGAGATACTAGAGATTAATGAGTTAACACCTATCTAACCACCATTGGCTTTTAATACAACAACAAAGGAACAGATGACAGTAAGGAGAACTGCATTGATCACCTATCTAACCATGACATGACCTGAACCTAACAAAGCATTGATACCAATTTATTACCAGTAACCGGCATTCATACCAATTTATTACCTAACAAAGCATTCTAACTAGCCAATTTATTACCATTACCTATACAGTAATACTCATTTATTACTTATTACTCAGTTTTTTTACTTAGTATAATTTTTTTGCAATTATTATACTTAGAACTTGAAGGAGAGTCTAAACTTACAAAATTATGACGCGAAGAGGTCCTCTGATATCTCACGGGTTACACTTGTCTCGCCTTGTAACATGTATACCCCAAAAAACCTGCGTACAAACGACATTCAGACTTAGAGACAGAACTAAAGAACACATCAATAACCAAGAGTGCATGAATGTATAACTTAAAGGAGAGAATGAAGTCTAGAAACTTATCTTGTTCTGTGAAGCTCCGCAACCTTCAAAATCTCAGCCTGCATATTAACATAAAAACCGGAAACCGCATACTTTTCTAGCAAAAGATATTCATTTCAAACATCAATTTTTTCTACCAAGAGCTACCATCAATTCATCAACACAAAGATCCATAACATAAGTTACGAACTACCATGCACTACTAAAAGTTCCACAACCAACCACTTCACCGTAAGGAGTACTTACATATTACAGACATGAATTGTCACCTATTCTACCTCCCAATGCATAGAAAGAAAAGAGATAACAGCAAAAAAGACCAAAAACATGATAAGGAGCATATCAGAACCTCGAGTCGCCACTGTCTCTTTCATCCGAGCCACTTCTCCTTGAATCTCCACCAGGACTTCCTTTATTTCTGCGATCTCCTCCTTGTTTCTGTCAATCAGAGGCTCCATTGTGTACAACCGATTCTCGTAGGATTGAAGCAGCGCAGTTCTGTTGTAGTTTTCCATCCTTCCACTATGTTCGTCTAGACGTAGTTGTAGAATGGTTAGCTGTTCTTCAACTGCTTCATCCCACCATTTCCAGATGTGGTCTGGACTCTCCTGTACATTTGAGAAAGAAAACTTCGATTAGAAACTACACTAACAAATGAACAAACCGCAGATTTACAAATACTTCATCTTACCTCTGCCAATATTTCAGGGCACGTGTAGAACTTCCTTCCGAATGTCGCTGGAGCTGTCGACTCTTCAATGATTGTGGTTCGGCCACAATAACACCGAACAGGAATCCCAAAATTCCCATCAGCTTGAGCACATCCACTGTCGTAGCTTGCTACGGAAGATGAGCTATTGGTGTAGCTGCTAGGCATGGTGATGAAACAAAATCAACAAACCGAGTGTTAGAAAAATCGATTTAAACCCAGACATGTTTGACGAACAAAACGATGATTTTGGGTTCAAAAATTAAACATCAAGAACAACAATATACATTGACAGATTCCATTATAAGACAGACGTACAAAGTATCTCACAAAAAATTAACGCAAAACCCCAAACTTTCCGAAACCTCAAATCACTTTCAATCGATTTCCTACTCAAATACCACCAGAAAATTCGATTAAAACCGAACATGAAATCGACAAATCAAACACCCCATCAATAATTGCATCATCTCTAAACCAAAAACATAAACGACTCGAAGACAAACTATAGATCGATGATAGAGATTGGGATTTTAGGGTTTACCACAGATTACCTGGACACACCGTCGGAGAGGTCTCAGATGCCGCCGGATAAACCACCGCCGACGGAAAGAACCCGTTGGAGAAACGGATAAGTCGAGATCACGTATGTAATCGCCTGCGACAGAGATACCAAGGGGAATGCAGTTTTGGTCGGAAAAAAAAATCTCCCCAGAAAATAATTTTTTCTCCTCATTTGTTTCCACCCAATCACAATCTGTCACGTGTCCGGAAGAAACATCTCTTGTTGTCGCAAAATAAAAAACGTTTCTACAACTTTTGGGATCGGTTTCAATTTTTTATTAATATTTTTGGGCTAAGAAATGGCCCAAGTCTCAGCGATAATGATGCTCTTATCGATACCTAAAAAAACCTAAAATACTTTTTTTTTTGGTCGACACCTAAAATACTTTATATCCACAACAATTTTAGATACATTTTCATTTAAAATAACCAAAATACCATGATTAAAATTATAAACCCAAAGACTTTAGTTTTTCAGATATTTTGAGTAGTTTCAGTGGGTTTGTTTGGTAGCATTTAAGGGGCGGTTGACAAGGGCGATTGAAAAAATGCTACCAATCAGCAACATCAGTTGGAGAAAGTGTTTAAAATTATAGTTGTAATCAGCATTTGAAACGGACAGTTGAAAGAAGATTTGGGTGGTTGGAGATTAATTTTCAGACAGTTACAAACTTAAAAAAATGGACGTTTGGAGCAAACGAGCAGTTGTAGTCAGAGTTGTTTTTTTTAATAATAAAATTTATGGTTTAATATTAATTTTTAATAAGAAATTAGTAAAATTATTTGTTTTTCTTTGTATGTATATGTATGTGTTGTTTTTGTTTTGTTATTTCATTCAATAAAATTCACTCGACAAAAAAAAATTTATGAGACAATGGTTATGTATTTTACAGTTATTAAAAACACTTATCATCACTGATATTTAAAAAAAAAACCTAAAATTTGTTATGTTTAATTTTTTTTAAAAAAAATTGTGCATGTATTCATTTTCACTGACAAAAGAAAAAAAAAATTGGTTGTGCATTTCAAATTTATCAAAAACTGTGTCATAAAGAAAATCTAAATTGTTTTATGCTTCTGCTCTAAAAAACAAAAATAGTTGTGCATGTATTGTAGTTAGTTGACAAAAGAATCAGACATTTATTTTTGTGTATTTCAATGTTATCAAAACCATATCATCATAGTTTTTATATTTTTTAAAAAAGAAAATCTAAATTGTTTTACACTCATTCCTTAGAAAAAATAGCTGTTCATAAAAAGTACTCAGTCGATAAAACATTGAGAACTTTATTATTGTGCATTTCAAAGTTATCATAAGCCTTATCAGCATTTTTTTTCTTTAAAAAATTTAAAAAATATAAAATTTTTGGTACGCTTCTTCTTCTATAAAATACAGAAGCTTCATTCACAATTTTCATGCAACACCAACACATATCCTCCATACACAGCTTCAGGTTTTGAAATAAAAAAATTGTGAACATCCATTTAAGTTAAGTGTTGTCATCCTTTATTATCTTAATAAGTTTAGTCACATTGTTTTAGCAAAAAAAAGCAATTCACATTATGTATATTAATATTACTATTTTCATTTGAAATACACATTTGATAAAATAAATTTTACTTGATTTTAAGTTTTATGGAGTAATTGTTGGCTTTGAGCTTTTGATTACTATTTTTTATACATAGTTAATTACAAATGGTAAGGTTTTAATAAAAACATATTTATTTATTCATAAAATTCTGTGTCCATGCATGTAAAATTAGGTTGTTTAAATATAAAATATCATTTTAATTTCATCATATATTAATTATTAAAGATTTCAAAAATTTAGTGTCACCATATATTAATTATTAAATATTTGAAATGATTAGTGTCTTAATTATTAGTATTTAATACTAATAAATAAGAAAGAATTGCTAAAAATAGGTCACAATTTGAATCCAAATGCAAAAATATATCCTAAATATAACAATGCTTATTGTTAACATGTTAACTTGTATTACATATTATTGATAGCATAATATTGATAAATAATAACACTCATACGTAGAATGTGCTAAGTATCGATCGACTTTGCTTCTTGTCAATCCTTGTTCTTCAAACATTAATATCTTATATGATCTAAAAATAATAATTAGAAAAAAATCAAACAATAAGGAAAAATAAATAGACAAATTAACAATTAAGATGTTTAAGGCAATACTTCGACTTCTGGTATTCTCTTAGATTAAAAAAAGAAAATGAATAAACTCTAAAACAAAAACAGAAAAAGGAAAGAAGCTAGTACTATGTAATGATTTTGAAAGAGATACAAAAGTCATCACCGATTTATTCTTTGTTTTTAATCATTTGCTCTTTCTTCTATTTGGTTTTCATTCATATACTTTAAAATTCAAAATAAAAAGATTAGTTTCATATCAACTATAAAAACAGAGAAGTAACAACAAAGAAAGCAAAATATACTATATTAAAATAAGAAAAAAATATTCATGAACTAAACTAAAACCTAACGATGAAAAAAAAATTTGGTTAAACCTTTAAAGTGAAAATAAAAAAAAGAACACATAACATATATGAGAGGAGGCAAAAAATATTTATACGGAAAGTTGTTTAGGGCTTAGATGTTTTCTCAAGATAAATATCGATATAATCAAATATTTTTTTCTGTGTTTGTAAAAATATATACAGTCCCTGCGTTAACTACTGACC